AGAAAAGACCACCATCAGTATTTAAAAGGCCGGGGAAGAAACTTTTGTCAAGGAACAAGCAAGAAATACTGCATATACTCGCATATAAGCCAAGTTTTCAGCACATTTTTAATGCAGCTTTTGTGGTAAAATTAGGTGCCTCAGCTGATATTTGGGTCGGCTTATACACAAGTATATACGGTACTTGCACTTAGAACAATTTCAGGTTGGGTCAAGAGGGGGTCAACTGACAAAGCATCAAGTTCGCTCCAGTATAATCATGCTTACAATGATCTCTGATAGTAAAGCTGTTCCAGACCCTTGCCTGTGGCCTGAGGGGATCTGTCAGCGTCTTAATCTGACTAGACACTCTGCAGATGGATTTGGGCTCCCACTGTCCTCCACAGCCTTCTGCAAATTGGGTGTTAGCAATCTAAGCTCTGATATTTTTCCCTTTGTCATATTTGAATTGTGTCATTGTCATCTTTGGATCATACAAGCTGGTGTGCTTCTTCCATGTGTACTTAGTTGACTCCTTGCTTAGATGGCTGCTTGTTTCAATACAATCCTTTAAGACCCCAGACACTATTCTGATTGATAGCTGAGCACCATCTGCTTTCTTCACCACATTTTGCTGTTGTACCCTTATCTTCAGTGATCATTTCATGAAGGTAGGTATTGAGCAGGGCCATGATATCAGAAGTAACTGTTATTGGATTGGGGCTAGAGTTAAATGGGGACCCAGAATCCATCTGTTTGCCTCTGGGATATGCATGACTCAGTTTTACTTTGGGGGTTATATTATGACAAAGTCAAAATCCCATAACCAACTACATCAACAACAGCAACAAACCAAGCAGCAAAGAAAACACAAACTAAAGGCAGGAAGACAAAAACCCATAGAAATAGAAAAGTAAGTGTGGTAGTTACATAATTTCATGTCAACTTGATAAATAGGTCTAGGGGTGGTGAAGTCTAGCCTGTCAATCAGATCATTGCCTGATGATGCTTCTTTGTGGGCATGGCTTTCTCATGAGGTTTCTGGGAACTTCCTCTCTCCCGACTTGGAGGTGGGCTACATTCTTTCTCTGCTTCCCATTCTCATTGACAAGCCACATGGAACCACACTGATGACAGCCAGAGCCCTGGGGATGCTTCCACCACCATTGGATCCACAGGACTTTCCACCCACTGACCGGTGATCTTCTTGCATTCAGCATAATTGCATGTGCTGTGTGAGTCTAAAGAGGAATTTATGGACTAGTATTGGACATATGGGCTAATATCGAACTTATGGACTTGATTTGGACTGGGCTGGGACGTTTACACAATATACAATTGCTCTTTGATATCAAGCTCTCTCTTACACACCTATGGGCATCTCTGGATTTTGTTTCTCTAGTCACACTTGATCTTAGTCAAAAAGCCGAGAAGCGATTGTTTCTCTAGTCAACCTGGACTAACATAGTAAAACATTGTCAATCATCTCCCTGCGGTGTGTCAATTTTTCCAATGACACACGGCTCCAGACACTGTCGGTATAAGAAATCTATGGGAGTGCAGCTCCACTGTGAGCCACAACCCAGGAATTGTTGCTTCACACAGTTCAATCCCCCATTTGATTGAGCTCTGTTTACCTAAGTATGGGGATTGGTGCCAGGGGGAAGCTTCCTGGATCAATTCTTCCAAGTCCAGATCCCTGCCCAACAGATCAAAACCTGTCATGTCACTGTGAGGGGCATTGCGGTACTAACTATATGGTGATTCTGGGTCCCTTACCATTGGACACTCATCAAGCTGGGGGTTCCTCCCAAGGTTCAGTGACCGCCACTTCCACAAGTCCTGGGCAGTCACTCTCTGCTTCCTCTCCCATCCGAATATCCCAGTCCTCGGTTCAAGGGTGCAGGCACCTTTGAGGCAGAGCTCAGTCCATTCTGCTGGGCTTCTACATTAAGTTTCTCTGGTGTAGCCCCTGGGTTATGCCATGCTGCCTACAAGACCAGTGTCCAAGGTCATCATAGTGCTTAGTCCATTGCATGGTTCACCGAGGGTTGGGTAAAATCGTATATGTAGTGTCTACCTAGGAACATAACATCTGGTCCATTGTCCCTCTAGGTTCCTTATAATCATTGTTTAGCATCCCTTCCCGATGTGAGGTTACTTCTCCCCAATCACCCACCATACTCACCAACAGAACTATCAGTGTCTCCTCCAAAATGTAGATGCTCCTCTACATGGACCCTCCATAGAAATGGAAGGAGAACCGTGCCAGAAAATCAAGATTGGCTTGATGAGTGTCCAATGGAAAGGGACCTAGAATTGCCATATATTTAGTACCTCAATGCCCCTCACAATGACATGACAGGTTGGTTTTTTTAATCGTTTTATTAGGGGCTCATACAACTCTTATCACAATCCATACATACACCAATTGTGTAAAGTACATTTGTACATTCATCGCCCTCATCATTCTCAAAACATTTCCTCTCCACTTAAGCCCCCGGCATTGGGTCCTCATT